AGTGCAGGAACAGGAACTTTTCCTGGGCCAAGGACCTCGCAGACAATAGGGCAGGCTTGGGGGAGGCAGGGTTGTGTGGAACAAAGAAACCCCTGCAGCAGGAGTTGGAGGGGCCCTATGCTCCCTTCCTGGACCTTCTGCCCCAGGTTGGCACACACTCACCAGTCTGGATTGATCTCCTCATAACTGTACTCTTAGGAGAGTTTTGAACACTCATAATTTCTTTCAGTGATTACTTGAGTGTCGGGATGCTAGAACATGTGTGTTTTGTATTTTTACGTGTTTGTTTGTGCTCATAAGGTTTTTGGCCAATGTCAGCCAAAAAATAATCCGTATAGTCAAACTGCGTCACTCATCCAGGGGGAAATCAAGTCATCTTGTAGCTTTCTGTCCACTCATCTGGACAGCTTTATGGTATTAATTGTGTGCTACATGCAAGTCTTCAATAAACTCTTATATACAGAAAATTCAAGTATAAAACATGTATGAGTGATCTGAATATTTGCTTCCTCTATATTCTTCACATTTTTTTATATCAACAAGGCCCTCTGTATCCAGAAGGACCAGGCTATGGGTTGGCTTGGTGGGGTAAGGCACACACCACATCCATATTCCCTTGGTTTCAGACTGCACTGTGGAACCCAAGGAAAAGACTGAAGGAAAGAGGAACAAACAAACTCCAAGGTAGTAGAGTGCTGAGAATGTTATCAAGCAGCAAGGAGAAGGCTTGCTTTTATTTTAGCCAAGACCATGAGTTCAGTCCATGAATAATACTCTCCCAAGAAATATTTGTGCCTTCTACTTTCCTCCTTCTTCCAACTCTGTAAAATGGACTGTGATAAAGAATCAATTTAGACTCTATTAATTCAAGTGTTTTTATATGAGACCTAAGAGTCCTGTGTCCTCTTACTTCTGGTAGAGTTCAATCACTGACACAGGAGTCAATGGCTACTTAGCAGATACTGACTTCCATCACTTGTACTCTCATGATGTACAGTGTGCCTGAGACATATTTCTCACCCCTGGTCACAATTCCTTTCATAAGGCTCCATGCAATACTGCTCATGTCAAATGTTGACACTCATTCTTTGCCTGCTTCTTTGGAGTGAGGAGAAATTAATTCTTACCTGGTCATTCATATTGTGACTTGTCAGGTGCATCCTCACACCTGTTAGCTGCCTTTCCCCTCCCTGAATCACTGTTAACAGTACCCCCTTTCCATATCTTTCAAATACCCCATGAGTAATTGAATGGATGTGGAATATCAACCAAAGGCCCATGTGTTCAAGGCTTGTTCCACAGAATGCTAAAGTGAAAAATTGTGTAAAAACTTTAAGAATTGTAGCCAAGTAGGAGGTTTTCAAGTTATTAGTGGTGTGCCTAGAAAGAAGACTGTAAAATACTGTGTCTTTAGTATTAATTTTGTTTTGTTATTGCTGTTTTCTTAATTCTAGGCTTGAAAGCAATAGAACAACGTGGCTCTGTCACATGCTTCTTGCTAAAGTTCACTGCCTTCCCCCCACCAAACCCAAAAGCATCGCGGCCAATTATCTGGGAAGTGAATCCTCCACCAATGCCAGCCAAACTAAACCTTTGTCTTTGTCATGGATTTTTCCCATACATCGATCTTCATGGTGGACAACTGCCTGGCATAGTAGGCCATCATGCCAGGCCCCTGATGGGAATCATAGCTTTTGATTTAGTTTTGTTTTGTTTGGTTTGGTTTTGATGCCCCTTCCTCCCTTAGTTTATTCTTTGTTGAGCTCTGTGGCTATTGCCTCATCAATGTGGAATAATCTAAGGATAGAGGGAGCCAAGGGACACCTGTTGTTCTGTATTTTCAAAAGTTAAACCCACAGTTTAAACTTCTCCTCATAACCAGTGGACTGTGTTCACAACCAACTGCTCTGTGTCTGTTGTTCCCAGACTTTTCCCATCTAGCATACATAACACTTCCTTCCTTCAACCACAAAGAGAAACAGATGACATATGAATCCTAGTGTGCCATGGTTCAGCATAGCCACACTCTGTGATTTCCACAGGAGAAACTGTGAAGTCTGCCTTTCTGCAGACTTCTGGACCTGACTCCTGTTGAGTCACATGAGGAGACATGCCTGGGTGACTGCTGTAAACATGGTAAATGTGATAGGAGACCATTTTCCTGAGTCATTTGTGTAAAGTATTTCAAAGTGAGTCATGCACAGAGACAAACAGTGACATGAACCTGTTCCTGAACCTTGGTTTCAAACTAATTTCCTTCTTTACTACTGTAACATTGGAAAGTACAAATATAATTCATAGTTTCTAATGGGAAATTACCTTAGCTACCAATGTTATCTTGAGTAGAAAATCAAAGTAATACTGCTGAAACTTCCCAGTCTAAAACACATGTCTCAAGAGTCTCAAATGCAAATCATTCAAAAGTTTACAAAGTTATTCAATCCAGAAAAAAAAATACCTTCCCCAATTGATGGTCAAGAGTTCCTCTAATAGAAAGATGAAGACAAATGTGTTGTGTGGGAGCTAGAAGGATGGAAAGTAGAAAGGGGTGAAGGAGGAGAAGAACGTCAAAGGACAGGAGGAGAAAGAAAAGCAGGTAACCAGAGGGAAGATAGGAGGAAGGATGGAAGGAAGGAAGGAAGGAAGAAAGAAAGGGGAAGGAAGGAAGGAAAGAAGGAAGGAAGGAAGGAAGGAAAGAAGGAAGGAAGGAAGGAAGGAAGGAAGGAAGGAAGAAAAGGGGGATGAGAGAGGAGGAACCCTGGAGAGATGCATCCAGATGGAAGAGTTTTGCAATCAGGTTTAATCAGAAAAGGTACTGAATCACTGATGCATAAACTAAGTAACATCTTAGGAAGAATGCTGCCTGTTGGCTTTTAAAAATGAAAGCATCAAACAAAATCATGAGAAGAAAGAAGAGATAACTCAGTAGGGGAAAACAGCATCCTTTTCAAACTAGGAAATAAAGGTTTCAAGATGTTCCACATAAGTATTAGTGGGTTAAAGAGCATGCAAATGTGTAGTGCATAGGTGAGAAAAATTAAAGATGTATCTTGTGTTCCCAACTTTGGGGGACAAGTGTGGAATTCTAGTAATAGCATCAGTGTTCATCAACAACAAATGAATAAATGATATAGTATCCCCAGACAACCACATGCTATAAAGTGGGAGAAATAAACTATGAGTATGTGAGGGGGGACATGTTTAATCTTGGTGTTGGTTATATCCTGGAGTAGCTGGTCTCTTTGTTCCTGTTTGGTGTTTGTGGTATGGAAATGTCTGGTGTCTCTTATACCTGTTTAAGTCAGATCCTTCAATTAGGCTCTCTGGAACTCATGAGAATTCTTTGGGTTTGTGAAAACATAAATTTTAGACATATACATTATATAAATAGTAGCATATTTCTGTCATAATGACTGTGACAGACAATTTTCGGCGTAATAAAAGGTATTTTTAAGACTATGGATGGCAGCATGAGAGAGGATTTTGATAGCTTATATTTGTCCTGACACATTTATATCTTGCAGGTGTACACCTTAATTACTTGTACTTGTGTCTTACTGAAATTTGTTTGGTGATGTTGTTCTTTTAAGCTCACAAAACCACTGAACTTTCAAATTGCATCAGAGAACTTTGAGAAGGCTAAAATTGTACTTGAGTTATTGGTTAAAAAAATAACAAAGAACTTACTTGGGTAGCACCTGAAGCTACTCCTCAGGGACCTTCATGGTCACTGAAGTTTGTATTTGCTTTTTGCTATTTAGCAAAGGGCCTTGCCAGGCTCCAGAAGATCATGTGGGCTAAGAAATTTGTAGGAATACAAGCCTACCTTGATCTAGCAGCTAGGCTATTTAGACAGTTAGAACGCAGACCTGTCGTAAAGAATCCTGGTTGCCAAGCCCAGGGTTCCACACATCCTCAGCAGGCCCATCCGCAGGCAGGAGGGAGCATGGAGAGCCTGACAGAGTCACAAGAACCAGTGTGTTAAAAGTAAAAGGGTGCCATTCCCTGAGTGCCTGCAGTGGGCAGTGGGCCAAGAAGAGCAGAGAGCCACTTGGCAAATAGCAGACCAAAACAAATAGGCACAACATCCAGAGTAAGGTTGGATATTTATTTAGTGGGTTATGGAAGGGAAAAGGAAGGGGAGAAGGAAGAAGAGAAGGAAGAAGAACAGAGAGAGGCAGAGAGAGAAAAGAGAACCAGAGAGAGAGATAGGAGGGGAAAAAGGGAGAAGTGAAGAGAAGGGAACAAAGAAGAAGCTGCCTTTTCCAGGGAGAGAGAGAGAAAGGGAGGAATTCAGGCTGGAAATGGATGGAAAATATGCTTGCCTCAAGCAGTTGGCGGGGGACTGGGCAGGGCTTGTCTGTTAAAGGGACAGGTCAGATCAGTACAGTAGTGAGACAGATAAAAATGGAGATAAGTTTTAGAACAGTTGGGGCTGTCCTCATGATCCTTGGAAGAATAGAAAAGAATTTATTTTGACTCCCCCATTCTGAGACTATAGAAGAAATTCTAAAACTGTAAGAAGAAGAAAAACTTTAAAAAATATTAAAAAGAGGGATATTAGAAAGGAAATAGAGTTTTCTGGAACATGATACAAGCTAAGAAAGCCTCAGCTCTGGGAGGTGAAGCTTCCACCTGTAATACATTGTGTATGAAGAGCATTATTTTCTACCGCCATCCAGTGGTCCTTCTGTGCACACCCAGCAGCCATGCAGCCTTCTCACATTGAGAACTGCCCAGTGTCTACACATGGAACAAATGTCACGGTCCACACTATCTTTGTCTGTAAACAGCATGAAATGCAAGGAGCACAGAACAGTTGTGAAATTCCACTGTGTCCTATGAGTATGTTCACATTTTTCTCACATTACAACATGCCACTCTCAGTTTAGGACAAAGGTAAATCCTCGAATTACTTATGAACATGCATCAAAGAATATCCAGAAAAGAGTGTGTGTGATACAAAAAGGTGTACCCAAAGAGATGTCATACCACTGGGCTATTAAAAAAAATGAATGATACAATTTAATATCTCTGCATAGTCCATGTTTTTAATTTCAAATATAAGATACAATTAAAGATCACCTCATTCTTTAGTTCTAAAATAAACATGAACTGATTCACTTATTAAGAAAACACTATTTTTATACTTAAACTTTACTTTGTTAATTTTATTTCTACCCTCTATTCATTACAGCACCATGCTCTCAAGTATTACTCAGTGTCAAGCTGATTCATGGTCCAAAGTTGATCCCGGAGAAAATTTCTTGATGAGTCAGATCAGAGTAAAAGGGTTTAGTTGGTTTGAAGTTTAGAGTATGGTGCATGATGAAAATAACATAATGTTCTTGATTTTCTCCATCTCTTGTTGAAGTTTCCTGCTCTCTTCCTGAAATCCTTCCTTGAGAAGTTGTTCCTGTTCCTAAAACATAGATGGAGAGTGAACTCAGACAGCTCCCATGTTCTTCATGTGTCTCACAAGTTCTCCTTTGGAAGTTATACTAAACCCTGGGGGAGTTTTGTAATTTTCCCCACAATTGTTTCCTTTCTCAACTTCTATATTTTCTCCCTGCATCTCCTCATATGTCAATAAAATTCCTGGCTTTCTCCAGCTTGAGAAACATTGTAGGCCAGTTCCAAAAACACCAGTGGCCCATAACTCTGATTCTAATATTCTGATCCTTTAGCTCATGTAAAACACAATTTTCTATAAAATCAATACTAGCTTCCCTCTTTCTTGCCTTATCTCTAATCTGTGTGCTGTGGACTATCAAACACACGCACCAAATTGATAAAACTGGCAAAAAAACACGTGAAGGTCACTATCAGATTCAGAATTAGGGCAGACATTTAATTAAGGAATTTAATACTATATTGGCTTCATGGGATCCTATTCTCCTTGAATGAAAACCTTGCCCAACCTAGATGTAGTAGGAAGAGCCTTGGACTTTCCACAGGGCAGGGTGCATGGGACTCCGTTAGGGTTGGAGGGATGGTGTGGGAGGGTCTGTGGAGGGAGAGAAGAGGACTGTGAGAAGGGGAGGGAGTGGGAATTTGGACTGGTATTTTCTTAAGTAATAATAAAAAAAAGAGAAAAAACACTCAAAGATAGACTACCCTGAAAAAAAAATGTTTAGTGTCCAGTACAAGAGACAGAAATATATGGAAGCAACTGGGATCTTCAGTGCTCACACACTTTTTTATTAACAATCATGAAGCCTAGGTCAAGATGTGTTGGGATGCCCAGAAAATAGGATGTTCCTGGCAATGTAAGCATTTAACTATTTTCTTGATGGTTTGAGACTGTGTCTATTCTTTAGGATAATTCCAGAGATAAGGTAAGGAGGTGTGACAGGAACAAAACTTCTATGGGTCACATTCGGTAGAAAAGATAGGATTTGAACATTACAGCACATAATTTTATGCAAAAATTATTTTACATGTAGCAATTACAACCGCTCAGTCTAGAACATGAGAAAAAATAATCCTTGAAGGGTTAATTGAAGATTTGGTCCCAGAAATCCTACAAAACACATGAAAAAAATCTGCAATTCAAAACTACTGTTCAACAGAGATACCCTGATAAAGGGTTTCATCCAGCAATAGGCAGCCTTACAGAGCCAGAGGTGGCCAAAGAAAAAGAAGCATGTAATAGAGAATGTAAACAATTCACTCCACTTTGGAGAATCTTGTGTTATTATCATTGTATTTTGGAGTAGGGTTGGCACAGAGTCTTCATTCACAATGTGGTCAAGCCTTGTTCTTGTGAACATAATACCTCAGGCTCCGGATACACATTGTTGATTGGACTGCAGAAACTGAAAATTAAAATGGTGCAGCCTGTACCTTAAGTTTGAGGAGTAAAATCTTTTGTTGCTCAGCCATTAATTGTTCCCGCTCCTGCTGAATCTTTTCAGTAATCTGTTTTACATGCTCATGGTGACTCTTTTCGTTCTCTTCCAACATTAGCACATGCATTATTTGCATTTTTCTCAGTTCGCTGTTTGCAGCCTCAGCCGCTTCAGCCTTTAAACGTTCCTCTGAGTAAAGAAAAAGCAAAGAACATTAAAGTGAAATCTATTCGAAGCTTTTGTCTGTAGACACTTTAGGGAAACAAATCCTCTCACTGACAGAAATTTCCTGTGAAATCTTTGTCCTATAAAAACAGTTAACAAGGATGGAGATGGACACATCTACCAGTTAACAAACAGCCACCACAAAGCTAAGAGAGACATTTGTCATCTTTCTCTGTAATGACATCCTCATATGCGAACAGTCCAAGAATAAGAATATAGAAAAGTAGGTTCTAGAAATAGAATCTAGAAATAAAGAAATATAAAGGTATAAGACTAGGAGAATGAGAGCAGACGGTCGGCAGCTTTCTCAGCAACTTAAAAATTAATTATTGACAGTGCATTACCTTGCTTTACAACTGGCAGCTCTGTCTGCAAGACTGAAACAGCCCTTCAGACTGAGGGTACCTTTGCAAACTGAAGGTCAGCTTTTACATAATTCCCTGGCCACTCATGACCAACAACTGATGAGAGCTGAGTTAACTTTTAAATGATGGGTTCCATGCGACATTTGGTTTTTCATACCTTTCCCTGCTATGCAAACCTGGTAAGTGACCACAAAAAAAAAGAAAGAAAGAAAGAAAGAAAAAAGAAAAGAAAAATATAATTTCCAACATCTGGAGTCTTCTCAGAAGCTCTCACCTTCAATCTCTTTTTCCTTTTCTGTGAGTGACTGGTCTGTCTTGAGAAGTGTTTCAGCAACATCCTCCATGGACTCAAAGTACCTTTTCAGCATCTTTTCAGCCTAAATGCCATAAGAAATTACAATGAAAAAATAAGAATGTGAGTTGAGACAAATCACGTCATGCATCTCTTAATTCAATTTAATGCTACCAGCTATAAACACATAGTTTGTGATTCAAACAGTATTTCAAGTTTAAGGTTTCAAAATCTACCTGAGGTTCCATCATACTTGATCATTTTTAGTTGTTCAAATGTTACTAACAGGTGACTCCATTTCTCTACCTGTATCTTTGATGTCTTGTTTCCCTCAAAGTATTTTTTCCACATTACTGTCAGCTAATAATGTTGATTTTAGCTTCAGAATGTATTCTTTTTTTAATTGACAAATTTTTGTTGTACAATATATTCTGATCACATGTGCTCCTTTTCCAAGTCCTCCCAATCTCTCCCCATCTTATACCTACCCAACTCTGTGCCTTTTCTTTCTATCCCAATTTATAAAACAAACAAATAAACAAAAACCAATCTCAAAAAGGGAGAGAAGAAATAGAAAATCAAGAAACTCTCTCTCTCACACACACACACACACACACACACACAAGCCAAAGCCACTAAAACACAAAAGTGGAAGTCATAATGCAAACAAAAGAACAAAAAGATTTTTACAAAAGTTCCCTAACAGACAACATGATACAGAAAGTTTACAATAATACCATTGGGTTTGTTTTGTCTTAGCTATGTACTTCCTGGCATGGGGCCCACCTAGAAGGGTTAACTAGGAACTTTTACTGGCCATCTGTTCCTTCCAAATCTACTATCCTGAGACCTTCCCTCCTACTGAAATGAGTGCTGCCAACCATTCTCAGAGCATCCAGAATATTGTCATAATAGTTCAAAGAGGGCCACTGTGGTGGTTTGAAAGAAAATGGCTCCCATTATCTCATTTACTTGAATGCTTGGTCACAGAGATTGAAAATGTTTAGGAAGTATGAGGAAGAATGGCTTTCTTGGAGTCGGTGTGGCCTTGTTAGAGGGAGTCTGTCACAGGAGCTGGCACTAAGGTATGAAAGTCCATGCCAGGCCCTGTGTGTCTCTGGGGCTGCAGCCTGCAGCTCAGGATGTAAAGCTCTCAGCTACATTTCCAGCACCATCCCTGCCTGTGTGCCATCATATTTCTTGTCATGATGATAATGAACTAACCCTCTGAAGCTGTAAGGAAGCCACAAATTAAATGTTTCCTTTTAATAAGACTTCCCTTGGCTATGGTGTCTCTTCACATAAGCAGAACATTAAGTAAGACAATGATGCTTAAATCCCTGCCAACTTTCTAACTTATCCAAGTAAATATCAGGTCTTTTTGAGTGTCTTCCAGGAACATCCACTGCCTTTTCCAACCTCTGGCCGCTCACATTATACCATGATAATATTTTCTTTGTCACCAAATAAACACAACTATTAAAAAGCATTAATTAAATCTTATGGAACGTTTTTGGTTTCTGATATTTCCACTTCTTTCATAGCTACTTGTCTCTCTGTCTAACTTATTTTCTCCTGAACTTTCTTGTTACCTCATATCAAGGTGAAATATACTGTTCTATATGTATTTTCTTTGTACAGCAGAAGTAGCAGAAGTAGGAGTAAATTCTTGTTAAAAATCACATAACCATATGATCACTAGCAATGGCTTTAGTGCATGAATAAGGCCTGGAAAAGGTCACTATATACTAAGGTTCTTGAGCACAACAATGGAAAAGTCCTTGAACCCACAACACGATCAAGTCATTAGAGTGGCTTGGTTCTTTATATCTCCTTTCTTGTGTACAAAAGAGAAGAAATATTTAGCACCTTTAAAGTCATTAATGTTCGAAAATAATTTGTAGCTAAATCCAATCTTATCCGCTATTGCCTAAGTAGAGCAGTTTAGAGCTGTTAAAGGCAAAACAATAAAACATGAATTTTCATTCAGGCTATAGTTGACTCATTGACTATGTGAACTTGTATGAGGTCATAACTTCACTCGGCCACAGTACCTTTTCTCTTTATGAGATAATATTAATAAATACTTAGTAGAATTGGTGTCAGAACTCAGTGAATTAACTTCTAGAAAAGAGTAGGACAATCTATGTGTCAACTGTGAGGAAAAACTTTGTAGCTGGTTTTGGTTTAGTTTGTTTATTTTGTAAATTACAGTAACTCTAGCACCCTGAGAAGTACTCATAACATGAGAATAAATGAATCAATGTGAGATGGTTAGACAAATAAATGTAGGAATGAATGAATCCTCAAACAAAATTGTACTCCCAAGGGAAAAAAAAAAGGTGCTGTCTGTATCACGATTGGCTCTCTATGGATATATGTAAGACAAGGACACTCTCCACCAACGCCATTGCATCTTTGTTGCTCACTAGCATTTGAGGGATATTCCACACCAGCCTCCCAAGATGGTACCAGCTAACTCAGTTTACCTGAAGCCCCTTTCCAGGCACTTGGTAATAATTTTTCTTTAACTCTTGTTTCCTTTGAAGAAAGAAATAGTAACCTCCAGGTTTAGAAAATGTTCCCTGTTTCACTTCTTCTTCCAGAGAACAAAAGATATCCTGCAGCAAATCTGAGCAATGAGCTGATGACACATCCATGTTTTTCTTAACAACTGCAACTCGCTTGGCATCCAGCAAGTTCTGGGCAAAGACAAAATACACAGATGGTTGAGAGGAGGGAGATAACACAACAGAATCCTGGAGAATGTCTAAATGGGGACATGCTCTTCACGTCACTGTAAGATACCATGGAGTCCATGCAGAAACTGGTCCTTAAGTTTGTGATTTCCTGAAGGAACCTCATTGTTCCCCTTCTGCTGTCCACCTTCCTGATTTAGGATGTAACTATCAATGCACAGATACTACTTCAGAGGAAACCTTTGTCTTTCAAGTCTCTAATTTTAGGGACAGTTCAGATCAGGCTCAGATGGGAATTCCTGAATCCACCACTCTGTTGTTTTGGGGTCTTAACGTTCGTGGACCATTGATCTCTTGTCTCTGAAACAGGATGAGCAACTCCAGTTTCAGGGGTCTCTAGTCAAATTATGAGATAAAGCAGAGCACTAAAGACAGAGGCTTTGCTAGAAGTACTCAGCAAAAGAAAAAATACTTTTTGATATTGGAACATTTTGTTTGGATAAAATTTGTCACTGCAATGCTATAGAAATGTGAAGATGATAATGATGGGCATCTCAACATTTAGGAAGCAAAATGGAGTGGAATATCTACATATTTTATTTCCTGAAAGTAATTTCAAAATGAAGATGCCTATTTCCTCTGACACTGACTACCTACCTTCATTACAACTCTTGACCTCGACTATCATTCCTAACTAACAGTAAAGTTTGGGCTTGCTAATGAGGAAGGGATCGTCACAAACTGAACAACCATTTATTTTTATAATAAACAGAATGAAATTTTGTGGAAAATGTGGTTAATTATATTGCTATTTTTTATATCAAAGTCCAGCAGAATCTTGTTTTTCAGTAACCGTTACAAATCTGTGCACTTAATGGGGTGTCAGTGTATTAAAGACTAAGGACAATGCTCATCCCAGAAAAGGCCCATGTTTTTCTTTCTTATGGTTTTGGGTACACATACCTTTAATTCCCTCTGGAACGTTTGGTCTACATCCTTGAAAGAATTCTTCATGAAAACCTCAGTGGCCTCACACTCAATAGGCCTGAGCAAGTCCAGCAGCTCCTGGAGGGTTTCCGTGGGCAGCTGGACCTTATGGTTCACCTGTTCTTCATAGTACTCAATGGCTTTTTGCACTGCACCTGAGTTCTCTATCTGGGCCAAAGCCAGAAGAGCATTCTCCACGCAGGGTAGTTCTCCACTGCGGATGGCATTGACATAGGTCACTACCAGGTTCTGTAGACCTACATAAAGGAGTTTAAAATTACTGTTAATTGATGGACATAGTACATAGTTTTTAGGATTTTCTGAGAAAAAAAAGTCAAGGGAATAAAATTTTAACCTATAGTTCCGGAGGATCTTGAAGCCTGTTTTTTACTGCTGCTACATTTATCCCAGGGATAGAATTTGTATTGAAACTATCATGGCAAGTAACGGATGATATGAGACCCTCTGTCTACTCATTTCTTACTCTTTGTTTCCTAATCTTTTCTCCTTATCTTTCCTTTCTCACTTATTAAATTTCTAAAAAGAAAACTTTCTCCTTTACCTCTTCTTTTGTTTCTGTTGCATGTTTTTTATTTCTCTTTCTGTTTCTTTCTTTTTTCCCCTCTTTATTTTATTTTATTTTTCTTGCTGGTTAAAGTATTCTTTTATTTCTGGAAAAATGTAGAATCTAGAAATCAGGCAAGGCACTAGAATGAACATAGTGGATCCATGCTCAATCTCTGCGTATAAATCGTTTTTTTCTTAGCGGACACTGGTGAGTTAGCAAGAATGTCCCATGAAACACTTATCACAGAAAAAAACTAAACTATTACAAACACATGGAATTAGGGGTAAAAGATATAGAACTTAATTACTTCTGATTTAGAGTTTTCTTTTTTAAACACAATGAAATTTTTATTGCTTTATAAATAATACCATTCAAATTTTCCACTTCCTCCCCTCCTCCCATTTCTTTCCCACAACCCTACTCTCTCTCCACCCACCCCTCCAGTCCTAAGAGAGAGCAGGGTATCCTGCCCTGTAAGAAATCCAAGGCCCTCTCCTGTCCATCCAGACTTAGGAAGGTATGTATCCAAATAGACTAGGATCCTAAAAAGCCAGTACATGTAGTAGAGACAAATCCCAATGCCATTATCATTGTGTTCTCATTCTGCCCCAATTGTCAGCCACATTCAGAGGGTCCAGTTTGATCCCATGCTCATTTAGTCCCAGTCCAGCTGGCTTTGGTAAGTTCCCATTAGATCAGGCACACTGTCTCAGTGGGTAGACCAACTCCTCGTGGTCCTGACTTCCTTTTTCATATTCTCTCTCTTTCTGCTCTTCAACTGGACCTTGGGAGCTCAGTCCAGTGCTCCGATGTGGGTCTCTGTCTCTATCTCCATCCATTGCCGGATGAAGGTTCTCGGACAACTTAGAGCTGTTTTAGGCCCTTCCTGCACTATAGTTCTCTATGAATCCATCCTGTACGTTTCTTCCTGTTTCTATAGTTGAAATGGGTCACATATTTTCTTCTTATTCTTAAATATCCATTTACATGTTGGATATGTGTGTGTTCGTTTTATTTTTTGTTGATTATTGTAATAGTCTGAAGTTTCTCAGAATTCTCTTAACCTTGATATGCAACTAATGATGGCCCTGCCTTTCTGTTCCTGATCCTCCTGCCTCTACCCTTGCAAAAATAAGATTACAGGTTATCACAGCCATTGTAGTTCATGTGGTACTGGACTCAAAGCAAGAATGTTGTGAACATAAGTAGCAAAACATTCTACTATCTAACCTACATTTGTCATCAGGAAGTTGCATGGTTACATGTTGTGCCTTATTATAAACATCAGGGAAAAGCCCACACTAAGTTACTCAAAAACAAACAACTTCACCCAGTCCGAACAAACAAAAACAAAAAACAAAACAATTCTTCCCCTGATATTACTATCTAAAGAAAGAATACCACATAAAAAAATTAGTGGGTGTCAATCTCAAGTGATGTAATTATAGGTCCGTCTCAGTCCTACCACACTGTCATATTTCATTATAATGAAAAACTTTGGGATTTTATATCAAAATATATTACCTGGCATCTTAATTTGAGATTTCTACTTCCATAATTTGAGCCTAAACCAACGACCATTAAATTCTACTCCATTAAGCAGAGAGTTCATCTTCTTAGTCTCTCCCTATTAGAATTGCAAAGTATCACACTCAAAATATTGCAAAGTTATATGTATAGTTAGAGACCTTCCCACGATACTTGGAGCTAACTATAGATTCCTTAAATCACGTTTTTGATCTATCATGATAACACCACTCCATCATGGCTGTGGTCCCATACTTCTCCAATGAGAGACACTCTCATGCATTCTCTTCTTACAGGCACATAACTCTTACCTTCCTGAAGCCTAAAGGTTGTGTCTGGCCTTAGGCCTTCCTCTATGTATTAATTCCATATGCTGCTTTTTTGTAACTTTTAGGTACTGTGCTCATTAGTAGGAATCATTAACAAAAGAAAATTATTTCTAGGGCATCCTAAGATTCCAGTGACCCCTCCGTTACTATTACAGATATGAGACTATGAGAAATAGATTTAGTTCCCAAGTAACTCCCGTCATGTGATACACACACTGTATTTTCAATGACAGCATCCATCAGTATCCTACATTGAGCAGAAAAGAAGCCCACATAGGAAGCAGAGAGGATGACTTACGTGGCCCATTGACTACGATGCCATCAGTCAGAGTCTTGACATTGGCAGAGCTGAAGATGTATGAAGTGAATTCTCCAACTTGTTCTACAAATTCTTCCCTCAGATCTTCCTCTGATATTGTCTCCAGTTTGGAACCATACTTTTTAGAAGGCCTCTCAAAGACAAAGCATGTCCTCTTTGGAAAGAACTTCCTGATGCATAGCCGAGACTCATTTAAGTTTTTAGATTTCTTATCAGTTCCTTAGAAAGAATAAATTAGGTAAAGTGAATTTCAAGTAAATTACTGAAAATACATGACCCTTTCAATATTAGAGCTTTCTCAATTCAATGGGGAATATGATAATGTGGAATGAGCAATACAAAAATTAAAGGAATGCGAAATGAAACCCCCTGTTTCTAAGAAGTTGTGGATGGTACAGTTCAAAGTCAGGCAGCTTTTTTTTTTAATTTTCCATAACAGCAGTGAGGATGGCACAATTATAGGATAAAGAACTTCTCAAGGATGCAGAAGTGACCTCGTGCTATTGTTATCATTGTATCTACAGCTTCCATTGAGACCATTTACCTTTTTTCAGAGTCAATGAATTCTCCAGGTACTCATCAGGAGTGACAAACTTTCCATTAACTTCCAGCTCCAGTGAAAAATCCCTGAGCGTCCACACGAAGACTGGAAAGAAGCCTACAAAGTTTGTTGAGTCATCTATGCCGCACTCATCAGGTGATGACTTTGATTTGATTCGATTAGGCAGCTCTGTCACATAGCTGGGATGCTAAGTTAGGAAAACAGGGAAAATGCCATTTTTATGATGTTGATTCCATCACTAAACATCAAAACTAACCTATATTTACTTGATAGCTTATTCATTTTCAATAGTCACTCAATCACAAACATCTATTTAATGTCTTCTATGGAACAGCACTATCCTGGGAACACTGTTTTAAAATAAGCTAGAGAATGCCCATACACAGAGATTAGGCCTGCCTGAAAGAGACAAATAATAAGTAAGTGAATGAAAAGCAAAAGAAATCAGATACTTGTAAGAATTATGATGCAGAAAAATAAACTAGTCCATGAAATAGTGAATCAATGCATGCATCTCTGTGGGGCATGCGCATATGGAGGTCTTCAAAGGGCTACTGTGCTCTCAAAGGTCCTAGGATATTAGAAATCCTAATGAATAAAGAGATATCATTATTGGGAGAATAGTGGAACAATATTTCAAACTTAGGTCACATCACTTCCAAACCCTTAAACAGGAAACATGATTCCATAGTGGGTATAAATCATGATTGCCGGTGTGGTGGGACAGAAGGCCCAAAAGACGTACATGTGGGACATCCAACTTAGAAAGACCCAAGTCTTCCATTTTATTTGTACTAAATGAAAGGCACTGGTAGCCTTTATGTAGAGAAGATACTATACAGCATCATTTCTGAAGATCACAATGGCTGGAAATGTACCTGGGAATCAAAAGTGAAAAAAAGAGAAACTTGGCAGTTGACATGTCCAAGGCAAAACTCAAGGAAAGCTTAGACTAGAGAGTTTTTGTGGAAGATATGAGGAGAATGTGCCAGTCTAGGGAGATAGATTTGTTAATGGAACTGAGAATATTTGTGAAATAGTGATTTCTAGAGTACTAGAAAATGGTTGTGTCAAGTGAATACCATATGAATCTGTACAATTTTGAAAATGATGAGAAATTCTAATGTAATAAGAAGCATGGAGGAAGGCGAGATTTTGTATATTTTGACTTTGAATTGTCTCTTAGATATCTACATAAAGGCAGATAATGCAAAACATTGAATGTTGTCATGACTATAAACTTGATGGCAACTGTCACACAGATGACCCAGAAGGCCTTGAGGTTAAATGACAGCACCTAGAGACACAAAATAAAACAAGGGTAGCAGAGGCACAGCAACTGAGTTATACACTTAGAGGCCACAGAAAGAAGAGAATGTACACAGAAAAAGCTTACTAATGTCGTAGGTAGAATACCAGAAAACATAGAAACTCTAGATCTAAGAATCAAGTCATTCAGAAAGAGGAAGAGCTCAGTTTATAGCATATGCTTTGAAACCAAATAATATAATCTCCCACCAGGTAAAGGAGTTTATTGAGCTCAATATTTGATGTCAAGGTCATGGAGATGGAGCAAGCAGTAACAATGACATAGATGAGGTCAGGATGGAAACAGTGGAAGAAGGCGAGGGAACAGGGTACCATATGCAAAGAGTGTCTTCTAGTTTCTAGTCTGTAGTAGAAAGTTAGTAGGGCTTTATAATATTTGCCAAAAAATATTGTGCTGAGTGGATGGTTGGAAAAAATAAAAAAAAAAAACTGTACATGGAAGTGCTGTGCTCAAAAAACTTACACTTCAGAGACTCTGAGCCTCTCTTTATTGACAGAATGAGAAACTGCAGCACAGTCTAAATAGAAGGAAGAAGCATGCCCGTCTCTTCTGTAGTTCCAAGACATGCAAAGTGTGAGCTCAACAAACCAAAGAACCAACAAACAAACAATACCTCAGAGCCCCTGAGAGGTTGCAGGTTGCAGGATATATCACCAACAGCATGTAACTGGTAGTTAAATCGTATTACTCAGAGGTGCTGGCTGGAATGCTGATTTGCAGGGACATAAAATTTAACTGATATTGAAGATGTGAACACGATACGGATTTTCTGAACAGTGTGTGACTAGGTTGAAGGCCATATGGGCCAGAAAATTTTGAACTTGTGGTGGAGACAAAAATAAACCCAGATGGTAAGGAGAAAGGGTTATTCAAATCCCTTCGTCCTTTCCTGCCTGTCTACTTGATGAAATAATGAAGCTGTTCTTCCTAGGTTTAGTACTGTTCTATACCACACCCAAAGGATACTGCAGTTGGTCCATGGCCTGTTGGTTGATGGTTCCTATGCTGTTGTAGATGAAGGTGCTGCTGAGGAGGACCGCCAAGGCAAAGATCCAGCAGTCATTCTGGTTGTCTCCCTGCAGACCCAATGAATAAAGAAGAGTAACTAAGAGACAGTCCAACAGCTCAAACAGTTAAAAAAGAGCCCACGTCTGTCTCCCATTAACTTTAGTATCAAAAGTAAGTCGTTAATTTTATGTAAAATTACTCTTGTACAATGATTTTATGAATGTTCAATTCATACTCTATAATTTTAATAAGATGATGTACACCCATGTATAAGAGAGCATAAAGGAAATTCACACTTGAAAAGTCATAATGGTGATCAGTGAATAACTCTAACTGGACTGCTGGGTTTCACTCATAGAACATATTATGGCAGTGGACTGTCTTAGTCAGGGTTTCTATTCCTGTACAGAGACGCCATGACCACAGCAACTCTTATAAAGTAATGCCTTTATTGGGTAGCTTAGTTCAGAGGTTCAGTCCATTATTATCATGGTAGGACATGGCTGTGTGCGTGAAGACGTACTGGAGAGAGAGCTGAGAGTTCTACATCTTACACTGGCAGCAGGAAGTGGTCTCTGACACTGGACACGGCTTGAGCATATATGAAACTTGAAAGAGTACATCCCCAGTGATACATTTCCTCCAATATGGCCACACCTAATCAAAAGGCCATTAACTCCTAACAGTGCCAGTCCTTTGGGGGTGGGAGGGCATTTTCTTTCAAACCACCACAGGGACATTTTAGCACTAGAGAAAGTAAGGTTTTTTAGGAGACTTCATGTCTCTCAGACTGGAAAAAGGAGCGATGTGTTCCTCCATGAAAAATAATGTTATTGTTCATTGTGGTGTTTGCAAATCAATGACCCCCATGGGCTCATATATTTAAATGCTTACTCATCATGGATGGAGTGGGAAAGTTCAAAAAAAATGAGAAGGATTAAGAGATGAGGACGTGCTGTGTCATTTGGGGTGGGATTTGAGGTTTCAAAAGCGCATGGCAAGACTACTCTCTCTGTCTCTCTCTGTGTGTCTCTCTCTCTTTGTCTCTCTCTATGTCTATATCTCTTTCTCTCCCTGCTGCCTAGGGATGAAGATGTAGCTCTCAGCTACCTCACCTACTGTTGCAGTACCAGGCCTGTCATTACTTCTGACTTGTTCCCTGCCATGGTGTTAATGGACTAAGCCACAGAAACTATAAGCAAGCCCATAGCTAAATGCCTTTTAAAAGATAATACTACTCCTGTTCACGGTGTCTGTTCACAGAAATAGAGTGCTACCTACATCTTGTTTTTCTCTCACTGATAATGCTGTATAGGAATTGTAATTCTTAGCATTTCATTGGCTTGCACTTAAGAATCAGGCATGTTCAGATAATGTATAGTCAATTAAATTACACCATTAAGAGTCTTATCAAAACATTGTGGGATGGTGTAAAAGAAAAATAGCAAAAAACCATTGCCCATTATTATTATGAAGACTGTATGGCTGCTAATCAGTTGACTTTAGTGTGTACTCTTAGATCCTGTGTCTGGTGAGTTGAAGAATGATATTCAAATTAGATTCACCAGGACTGTAAATGAAAGATTGGGAATGAAGAACACAAGCTGAGCTACTGACACAACATGAGTAGAATTGGAAAGATTATGTTGTACCTTCTCTACATCTCCCATGCCCTCAGTATCAAGCAGAACTAAGGTGTGTCCCGGTTTCTGAGGATGAGGCACACACAACATCCAGATCCCCTTGGTATGAGACTGCACTGTGGAGCCCAGAGAGAAGCCTGTAGGGTGGAGATAAAATGGGGAGATAAACAGCACATGCTTCATGAAATCTCATTGGAATTAACATATTTAGCACTACAGGAGACAAACCAATTACAAGTATAGATTTTAAATAAAAACCTAGAAATGGAAGGACAGAACATCCAATGCTGATTAGGCATTCACTCCTACCTTAGACATCAGTGGACACTTGCTTTTCCTAGATAAACACTGTAATAAATAGTTTATAATTCGTGATAAAGCAAGTTGACTATCTATATGAATGCATTATTTCTTCTATTAAAACATTCTTGTACTTTAAATAATGAACAAATGGGAGTGTGGGAGGAAGCAGTGAGAAGACTAATTCAGAAAAGAGCAATCCCATTGATAGACACAAACCATCCCACATCACCCATGTCTCTGACTGTTTCTCCTCCCCTCTGCTTGTTGGATGCTGACAGTGGGATTGGGCGGGGGCAGGAGGACTCACGGGAGCTTTGATGATGTCACTCACCTTTCTGCTTTCCAGCCAGTTTGTTTATCAGGTAGGATTTTCCTGTGCGGTAAAGACCAACAATTGCTACAACCACCACAGGCTGCTTGATAGCAGACAGGATGTCCAGTGCTTCCTGGTTGGCCACCAACTGCTGATCAGAGTTCTCAATGAGGCACACTGGGCCTGACATGTTGATTTCTGAGGCCATTTAAACAATGATCTTATGTTTGTAAGAAATGATAAAACAGGAATAAGGTCTGTGTCATTTAGAAGAATTCAACTCAAGAAAATTGACCTAAGGGTACAATAGTGTCATGCAAACTTTTGCTGGGAACCTACCCAAGTACCTAATGCTAATGAGGCTATAGATCTTAGAGGAGACCCTACTACTGCCACTTTACTAACCCAGCATCATTCTTACCTGCATTTTAAATACTTATCTTGATACCATAGGAAAATGCAGCTCTCATTCCTCATCTCATAGAAATCACTTCACAAAGCAACAAATCAAAGCCCAAAGAAGAAGTGATTCTCTGGTACCCCGGCCCAGTTGATACATCTACAACCTAACTCCTTACCTAAGGTCAGGGAACATCATGGACATGGGAAAAGGTAGTGAGAAGATTTAAGAGTCAGAAAACCAGGGAGTCTGGTATGACATTGAGGCTCCTAGAAATGACAGGAAATCAACAACTTGCCTACCTAAACAAGATTGGAAAAAGTACACCAATAACCAACAACGAAGAAGAAAATCTCATGGGGCCTGAACCATAAACAAAGCATTATAGGCAACTAAAAAATGGTGAGCTGTGGATAAATAGTCTTCCTTATGCAAGAACTGCTCAGTTGCTTCTCCAATACAAGGTGGTCTGTGCTTAAATCATACACATCCAAGTAACATTATAAAAATGGAGCAGATTGTGTTTACAGATTTAGGAATGTGTGTGTGTGTGTGTATGTATGTGTGTGTGCCTGTGTATGTGTGTGTGTGTGTCTTTGTGTGTGTGTATAACAAGAATTAAAGAAAACAGGTCATGGATTTGAGAGAAACCAAGGATGATTCATTAGGGAGATTGTGGTAGAGAGGAGGAGAATGGAAAATGATACAGTTATATCTTAATTTCAAAAACATTATTAGTCATTGCAAGTTCTATACTTGATCCCCATTGATCACTATTTGAGAAAATGTATCTCATTTGTATCTCAAATGTATCTCAGCTGTATCTCACGGAGGCATTTTCTCAAGGAGGCACCCCTACCTCTGATGACTCTAGCTTAGTCAAGTTGACACAGAAAACCAGTCAGTACATCTGCTATACTTAGTGATCAAAAGGGTTTGACCAAACAGTTTCCTTTAACTGTGGCAGCATTCAAGCTGCTACCAACAGTTGAAAAATAGCTCCCTTCGTGTCGTGGCAGAAGAAAAAAGAGACTCCAGTTCAGCTTTCCTAGATAGAGTTGTGCCCTGGAGAGTCTGAAATGAGAAGGGAGACACAGGATCTAGAAGGACTGCAGTATATCTGATTTTTGCCATGGAAGGTTACCCCCAATAAAAGATGTGCTCCAGCCCCAGGAAAATTGCTGGCTGATCCTAGAAACTGGGGTGGCGTCCCCTTAGGAGCAATTGATTCTTAGACACATGGTGGAGGAAGCAACTCAAGGCTAGTAAAGGATTTCCTAGAATACCTCTCCAGAGTGTGAAACCTGGTGTGGGTTGGAATAGAGCAGCAGATTCCAAACCATACGAGAGTGAAATTAGAGCATAAGAATGGGAAGAAGTCCAGTGTAGTAAAGATGCCCAGAGATAAGATGTAGGTACACAAGTTCCCCACTTTTCCCGAGACGCCATGCAGGGCTGTTCTGCTTCCTGGTTCCACTGCATCAGCTTGAGGGTGTGGCATAGAACTGCCCTCTCCTATTATGTTAATTTCACCTAAGGCCCAAGGGTGTAGCTTAGAGAGAACTCTCCCTCTACTGTCATGGTAATTCCACCTGCAAGCAAGGTTCTCGCCTCAGGCAAGGTTCCTGGGTCAGCCTTTCTCTGAGCCTGAGCACGCCCACCTGGCTTCCTCTTTTCTCTGTTCAGCTGCTCTCCGACCTTGGGTGCGGCCCCCTGACTTTTCTCTTTCCTTGATCCTGATGGGGGGCTGGTGTCTTTTTGCCCCACAGTATATATACCCGACTTATGCTTAATAAAGCTGCCATTTGCCACTTGCTCTTTGGCAGATGAGCCGGTCTCTTTGTGTGTGTGTCGTCTGTTCAAACCCCTAGGACATGCGTCCGTTCTCGTGGGCTCGAGTCAGGAAAAGCGCGCGCCTGTTTCGAGGTTCGGGTGTCCACAGAAAAGTGCGGAAGCTTACAATAAGAGATCTTCAATATCCTCTACCCAAGACATGGCAGGGCTAGCTACAGGGATCACAGGAAATTTGTGATGGAGCTTGCTACAGTAGAATCTTGAGGGTCAGACTAAGCAAAACACTGGGGATAAGCTATACTGCAACCAGAAACCTTGACTGAGAACCTGGTGCCTTCCATTTTGTTTCAATATTCATTTGTGTTTGTATCTTTTTAATCTCTAATTTGTTATTTCATTAAAATTTTTGTATCCAGATATACAGAAATAAAGGATATATGATACTGATACATTTCTTTGGAACTTTTGTAACTTGATTACCTTCTGCCCCCTTGGTATGCATGTGCTGTAACTTGTATCTTGGGAAAAGGTTTGTGTCTTCTCTTCTTTTATCACAATTTGATGAAGAACCTTTTCTCTGCTCTTCATGCGTGATGAAGAACAGTTTCTCTCTGCTTTTTATATGCGAAACCAATTGCTTTTTACTCATTCTTACTCTATTTCCTCTAACTCCTTATCCCAGCCACTGTTCTCCTCACTACTGTGATACATTACATTCTCTTTACTCTAATTCTCTATCCCAGTCCCTGTCCCCTTCACTACTGTAATACATTACATTTTCCCCAATCAGGGTCCCACACTGCTCTCTTAAATCCCTGTCGTCAAGAGCATAGTGAGCACACTGTCTCTTCCTGCCAGGAACACTGGGATGTCCAGGAAACTATCACAGCTGGAAGTGCAGCTGATGTTTGCCCTCAAAAATAAACATAAGGGAAGACAAGCTACTAGAGATTCACATAAATCTTTAAAGTGAAAACTGAAAGCAACAAACCAGGGAAAGCCTTCAACTGGTACAAGAGAAAGAGCCATCAGAACGAAATCAGGTCTGTACGCAATTCCCAAACCCAAGGAAGCTTGAAAAGAATGTACTTCATACCTTGAAAGTACATAATTAACAGCCAAAAGTGCCACAGTCATAAATATTTCCACTAAAATAGAAACAGGTCCAGACTAACACAAGTTCGATTAGTTCATTACAACTAAGCTAGAAGAGCTGAAAATTCTTAAAAGAGCATAATCACAGAAGAATAGGAGAAGAGGAGGAGGAAGGGTAGAAATAGTTTCACATAAGAGCTCACAGGAAGAAATACATTTCATGCCAGCAGCAGATGAACAAAAGACAAGTAAGTGGCAAAGAATTAATCATGTGTGACCCTGAATATCTGACACTATGGAGAAGAGAAAAGACCCACAATAGAGAGCAGCAAGCAAAATCATGAATAACAGCAAAGCCCTTCTTAACTATGACGTTAACTGCAAAGGACATTGGTCTGCAAGTTAAAACATACAGACTGAATGACTAGCCAAAACAAAACAAAACAACCACAACCAAACTCTGGCTGCTGGATAACTGGCCCATGGGTTTAGAATACTTGTTATTCTTTCTGAGTTTGGGCGTTCAGTCCACAACATTGATATAGGGCACCTCACAATCATGTGTACTTCCAGCTAAAGGAGATCCAAAGCCCTCTTCTAGCTTCTTCAGGCACATGCGCGCACATACACCCCCCCCCCCACACACACAAATGTGCACACACACTCATGTACATAAGCATAAAGATAACAAAACTTACTTTTTAAAATGAGAAATGCTGAATTTGTTAAACAAACTCATTAGGGACCCACTTCAGAATAGGCAGGACACTTCTGAATAAAACTCCACTAGCATGGGTATTGACCCCAAGCATTGCAAATGTGATTAGTCAAGACTTAAACACTTTTGCACTCTGATAGAGCCTAGTAATAGAGTGAACACACAGCCTACAGAATGGGAGAAACATCTTTGTCATCTGATTTTCAGTATGTATTATCCAATAAAATAAAGAACTGTAAAATATTAAACATAGGAAAGAGTACCGTATTTGGGCCAATGAACAGAACAGTCAATTCTCAAAAGAAGTTGAAAGTGTTCAATACGAAGTCATCAGAGAAATGAAAATTCAACCTACTTCGAAATTCTCATCTGGTCAGAAGGGCTATTATCAAGAAAGCCAAGAAAAAGAGTGGCTTGTGTTCACTAGAGCATTTATTACTTCAGGATTGTTCCATATTAATCCTGGCCTGCCTCTATCCTGCTTCCTGTATCATACATGGGAAAGGACAAAGAGGCCAGCCAGGTTTGTGTTCAGAACATTTCTTGCTGAACCATGCATTAAAGAAGCTGACAAGCTGATAGTTTGAATATGAAAATAATTCATTTAGTTATGTGTCTGTGTTTACCACCCATTTGCGGATACCCAGGAATGCTAGAAAAAGGTGTCAAATAATCTGGAGATGTAGTTGCAACAGTTATGAACTGACCATTTGGGTGCTGGGAACCAAACAAGGCTCCTCTCAAGGAGCAACAAGGCCAAGTTGTACTGCCATAACAGGGGAAGAAGCCAATAATATTGGCCAAGGAAAAGTGTCTGCAGAAAACTTCATAATCCCCTGCATTTTCAATGGGACTAGGGTCTGTTTTACATGCCCCAAGTTGCCCAGCTTTGTTTTTTAAGAGATGTGCTAACCGGCAACAATGAGAATAAGATGTATGAGAATCTTTATGCAGAAAAGATTATTTAAGAGGCATCCAGGTGAAGGATGATGAACCCTGAAGCCCTGCCATACTCTCTGGACTCCATTGGCTGGAGCCTATTGAGCAGAGTGGAAATGGGGGCACTGAAGGGACACCTTCCCTCCTCCCCACAAACCCTGGATGAAAAGTGCACTGCTGACCCACATCCAGAGTGCAGCATCCTCCTGTAGAGAGGTTGGTTCACAGGTAAACAGCAGTATCTGGGAAACATTCCCACCCTGGTCCCCTGACTCACCTGGAGCAGGAATCCTCTGCTTAGGGAAGAGAGCCTTTGAGGGGGAAGTTAAGGGCACTAGGCTTCCTCAGTTCTGAATCTGGATCCACTGATTTATCCCCTCTTGCACATGGAGTTTACAGCTCCAATTTCCTGGGTGATATAGAGCTTTAGCAAATACTTTCTGCTAAGCCAGCTAAACTAGAGGTACTTTAGCAAAGACATTTATAAAGGAAAAAAGTGAAACTAAAACCACTTATGGGTGACTGGCAGAATTCAGGGAGAGTGTTCGCTAACAGATAAATGTCATCAGGTTTCTTAGAATTTTCCAGCCGAAAGAGAGCTAAGAACCTGCTGATAGTGGGGATGGGGTGGTTAGATTTGAACCAATATCTTATTTCCCATGTTTGGGAGATAGTTTGAGAAGTGTAGGAATAACAGTGCCATGTAAAATAGTATTTGAGGTTCATTTGCTTAGAACGCTAAACTCACAGAGGATTTAGTTACTCATGCTAACTCATCACAAACTGTAAGAACTCTGAGACAGTGCCCACGTTTATAGTTCTGAATGCTGTAAACCAAACTCCATTCCTAGAAGGTGGAATTGAAGAACAAAACGGGAATCATGAAGATAGCTGCCACATGTACAGTTGTGAGATGCAAAAGTTTTGTTACCATAGATAATACCATCTAATTCCCACAAATAATATTCTTACCACAAAATTTATTAAAATGACAGGATTAATAAGCAAAATTGGACTGGAAGGTCTCTAGTTCCTACTTATATACATACATACAAACATACCTATCTACTTGCACACACACATACACAAACACATACGATGTTAAGGTAAAGAGAGCACACTGAGTTGTCCTAAAGTGTCCATACTTAAGGTGTCAACACCACTCCAAATCAAAGAAAAGACAAAAGTCTTCAAAAATGTTTTGAAACTAGTTTGGTATTCTGTCCCTTTATTTGGTTTCCTGCACCACAAACCATGATTTGTCTCCTCCTGTTACTACGCGACTAGTTGTTTTACTTTAAATTTTAAAGGACTTTGTTTTATTTCTCCATCTTGCAGTCATCTGGTTCTGTGTACAAATATTTTCATTACAGAGTCATCACCCTTCTGATATCTTGCTCTTTTCCCCTCCATAACATTTTTTCTTTCCATTTTAAAAAATTTGAGTTTCCATCTAAATTTTCCCTTTCTTTTTCTCCTTCCTTCGTTGCATTCGTTTCCCAATACTACATTTACTCTAAATGACAATACACTTGAAGAGTTCTAAGGAGTATACCACAGAGCACCTTTGCACACCCATATTTATTGATGTGCTAGACACAGAAGTCAAGTTATGGAAGCAGTCAAGATGTTCTCCAACAGCTGAGTGGTAAAGGAGGTGTGCACGCACAAAGCAGGGCTTTAGGGAAATGGACGGAATTGTAGCTTATTGTGTGACAAGAAATCAAACAAATATTTCATGTTTCTTCTTGTATATGATATTTATTATGATATACATGCTTATGATACGCATGGCATAGAAGTAGGATGGAGAAAGGAAGAAGCTAGTGGGAGGAGGAAAGAGGATACAGCTGTGGGAGTGGATGCAAGGTTAGATAAGAGCAGCACAAAACATCGATAAAACCAATGCTTCTTTAATCTACACAGTTAAAGAAAGAGGTTAAACTGCATTAAACAAGTGAGAGAAATGAGAGATATGTGTGTGGGGGAGAGGAGACATGGCTGAAAGTGAAGGTGGATCTGAAGTCTCTGAAATGTATCTAAATGCTAGGAAACCAGATGGTGTTTTCTCTAGACCAGTAAAACCTGTTAGCATTAGATAACCCAAAATTGCTTGCATCTTGAATGCTGAGACTCTTCTAAAATTTAAGGGCAAATAAAAATGAGTTTTCCTGTTTCTTAAAAGTTTAAATGTTCTTTTTGTAGCATGTTTCTTGAGAGATGGGTATGTCAGTATCCTTTCTCTAAACTACTAAATATAAATAAAATTTTCCAACGGGTAAGGTAAACCATAGGCACCTTTACGTTCAGAAGTGTATGAGTTTCCTAGAATAGTTACAATTGGTCAGTCCCAATAGCTTTGACCTGAGTCAGAAATGATCTCTATAACCAATTGTACTATGCTTGGCATCCCATTTTGCATCTCGGGCTTCTTATGATAAACTCTTTTTAAAAGATACCTTTCCCTTTCAGAGGCAGCAATGGCCTTGCTCTGAGTCCAGCCTGAACAGAGACAA